TTTTTTTTGATTGAAGATGCTTTTTGTTTGATTGAATAATAAAAACACAAATTTACCTCCATAGTTTAATCGATTGTTCGTTTGTTCGTTTGATTGTTCATTCATTCGATCGTTCATTCAATCATTCYTTCGATTGTTCGTTCAATTATTTATTCATTCGTTCATTCAATCTTTCGTTCGTTCAATCGTTCGTTCGATCATTTGTTCGAGCATTCGTTCGTTCGTTGGATCATTCGTTCCATCGATCGTTTGTTCAAACATTCATTTGTTCATCATTCGTTCAATCATTTGTTCAGTCATATATTCATTCGTTTGTTTGATCATTCAGTGATTCGTACTTTGATAAAAGGACTTTTGATCTCAGGGATTCTGAATAAACACAGCGAGCCCATCRTGCTTTGCTTTGATGCTGAGTGCTTTAAATAAGTAAGTCGTCATAAAAACAATAAAAACAATGGTTTAGAAGAATGTATGTTAATAATTTGGATACACATGTTGAACCGCTGTTTTCTTATAAAAAGTCAAAATAATCAAAGAAGGCTGATTATTATTTAATATTAGTTACTAATACTTAATGAAATCAATCTGAAACAGATACTATTTGTATCTTATTGAAGCTGCTTAGTGAAACTGAAGTTTTTAATGAATCTTTGTAAATTAATATTTAACCCRTATTTGTGATGAATGAATGAATCCTTAAGCAGTAATTTTATTCCTTGTCTCAGGGGGACCTCCCGAGTCCATCAGACAGCAGGTTTTACTCCCGCCTGTTGAGCTCGGACTACACCGAGGACCTCATCGATGCCGACGAATACCTGCTGCCGCACAAAGACCAGCGTAATCATGGCAGCCAGCCCTGCAGCACCATGGTAAACAAAAACCTGGAGGAATAAGTTCCTCTGGATGAATTATTAGTAAAARGAATAAACAAAAGTGCTGTGCCAAAGTTGACCACAAGGGGACAGAATAACAGTTGTTTGCTGAGTGACTTTATTATAACTAAATTATTTGTAAATTTATTTTTGACGTGTTTTCTTCCATCTAAGATTAAATCTGTTGTTTCCTGTCAGAACGGACTTCCTGTCAGAGAAAACAGCATCGTCCTCCGATACATCGCAGACCCCACTCATGGCCCTCTGGATAAAGAAGACTTCTCCTACCACGGTACGCCATCCTGACCGCCGACCATGATCACTGTTTGCTTTTCTAAAGAAATTAATTTAAATTAATGAGTCCAGTGGAGTCCCTTCAGAGGGTCTGAAGGACCACATTGGGCTCCAGAGCCACAGTTTGCAGAGCACTGTCATGGTGGGTGATARGTTCAGATCCCTGCTGAGACCAGAGGTCTGTCATTAAACTGCAGCTGGTTCTTTATGGAGAGCCTTTTTTTTTTTCAAAATACAATAAATAAATAA